ACAACGCGCATACAAAAAATGCAGTGATGTCAAACTTTTGTTTTATGACGTTTGAAGATAGTTTTCGATGTGATGGACAGGAAATAGGAAATGTTAACATTCGTGATGCTCATGTCACTGGGGCTTGTTCCTGCTCAGGACCTACCTGCAGCCCTTTTTGCACTTGGGGCTGGCTTCAGTTGCAAATCTTTCTCAAAGATGCAAAAGATGCACAAGGACTTTCAGGAATTTTTGACCGCAATGGCAGACAATTCGGACGAGTCTCAATCAACAGTTATCATTTTTTTCAACTTCAACTTATGTTTACGCAAGCATTCTTTGAATTTATTTGTTGTCAAGTATTCAATTCAATCCGGCTTGGTTGTACTTTGTCCTATCAATCATACCAAGGACAGCTCATCGGTCATGACATTCAAGTGCGTTTTGCAGCTGCTGCAGACTGTGTTTGTCCGCACTTTCCTGTTGGAAAATGTAGACTTAGAAGAGACTTCCAAGAGCACAAACAAAGAATCAAACCTCCAGGTGATCCTACGTGCACTTTCAGAAGCGCGAGATGGTTACCATGTTCGTGCTTTCAAAATTCTGTCGAAGGATTTGGGGTGCCTCAAAGGAGAGTGAGATTATTTTTCATCGGGGTTCACAAGGGCACCTATCCAAATTTTGATATGGACAAGGTGGCTCAAAACCTCGAGAAATTCCAGCTGAAATGCCAAAAACCAGACACTTTCATGTATTAGTTTCGGGTTGTTAATTCTTTATAAGCCTGGGTAAGTTGCGAGTAGCTAAGTTGAGTCGACTTGAAGTTTGAAATCTTGAAACTACCAACAATGAAATCTAAACTCTAACTAACTAAACTTAAACTTTAAACTCTTGAACTTACAAATGCTTGGTCTTCCACTGTATTCCATTAGATTAGAACTGCAAAACATAGGTGAAAAATCTAAGGAAGACTATTTCCTACAAGCTGATGATGCTGCAGTATGTGCAGAGCTTGAGCGTCGGCAGCAGATTCAACTGAAGAGGACGAATGATGGTAGTGGCAAAAAAAAAGGGAAAGGATCGGGACCCCAATGATGATGATTATGTCGACAGTGACATGGACAACGATGGTGAACATGACACAGAGAAGGTAACTAAATGGCAAACCCAACACATGCAGCTAGCTGAATCACGTTTCTTGGCTGATCGCTGCTCACTGACAGCATTGTTTGATGATTGATGATGACTAGGTGGGTATAGTACAGTTAGTACAGGTCAGGCTCAACTTACTGATCATCCTTCTCACTTGGTTCATTGTTCCACTTTCTTCACACTTTGCAACCATATATTGTAGAATCGACTTGTATCTGTATCTGTGTGTATCTCAGTTGCTGGCTGATTGAGATTGTAAGGTTCAATTCGCTGGCCCCTTGTTGTCCCCAAAGAGCTCGAGTCAAATGAATGGTTCAGCTCCCTCTCCGAGCGAGAGCGAGAGGTCACTGGTCAGAACTTTGTACTGTTAGGTCGACCTTCAAGATTTATTGTTTGTAACATGGACACAACTTAACAAAGAATTATGTTGATTTAAAAATTTAAAAATTAAAGGCCAAGCAAATTCTAGATTTCAAAAGATTCGACTCTGCATGACTTCCGTTACGCAAGTCGAGCTAAGAACGTCTTGTTCCTGCAGAACGAAGCGGACACGCAACGATATGTCCAGAAGGCTGAGATTCGTTTCGGTGATCTATACCAGGGTGCTTCCCGGACCCCGACATCGTCCGATATGGATACTATGCATTTTTTCTCAACCGATTGAGTTTGAATTTTGAAGGAAAAACAACTAAGAAGTTTGAACTTACTAACTTACCTAACTTACTTCAGATGCAAGACACAAGGCCTGCAACTCACAATTGCATGTCTCAAGAGTCTCATGTCTCAAGTTCTCAAGACTTCACTTCATGGTGTTCGTTGACTTACTGAGGAGCTTCCCACATTGCTGCCATCGGCCAAGCTTTGGGATTTGAAGGAATCACGCCTCATCTTAGGACAGATGAATCCTGACAAACAAACATTCTAGGGGTTAATGGGAATAATCAAAACTGTTCTTGAAAATGGTTGAAATTTTGAATTTTGAATTCAAACGTTGTTGTTGTTGTTGTTGTTGTTGTTGTTGTTGTTGTTGAGTTTACAGTGTACAGTGGATATTTGATTTTGTTGCACTGGTCCCCTTGGATCTAGCCTGATCCATCTGGGTCTTGTCTAGTCACATTCAAGTCACTCTACTCTAGACTCTAAATTTGCTTTTTTTTCATCGTTATCGTAGTTGTTTCACACATCAGGACGCGAAATGCTACATATTCAAGGCTTGCAGTATAGTGATACGGTGCTGAATAAGTTCAGCGAGTCTCAACTTGCAGACTTGGCTGGCAACGGGTTGCCTGGCTTTCTGCAAAAATGTTGCCAAATCTTACTTGATCCCATTGAAACTTCTTCTTTGAAACTTCCTGGGTGCTTGCCTTTCGCTTTGCTTGACTTAGATTCACCTCAACAGTGGTTGCAGCAGTATTGTTGGCCTACATCTTGGAGCTTGAGCACACCACCGAATCGGAAGAAGAAGAAGAGTTGGAGGCATCAATGATCGTGCAAAAGATTCCTGGTAGCCTTTGTGAATGAATGATTTTTTGTTAGAAATAGTGACTTCACTTCAGAACTCCAGGACATGGACATGGACATTACATTGTCAGATGGTTCAGATTCAGATCCCGACTTTCCAACCAATTCCAATTCAACCCAATCTAAAAAAAACTACGAACATACAATGATGTATGCCAAAAAAACATAATATATATACTAATATACAAAACATCGAATATTTCTTTTTCATTGAAATTGGGATATGGTTGATTCTTTTGATGGCTCATATCGCGTCGTTACGCTAAGGATGAAGCGAATGCGTCATCACTGAGAACCTACGCCAGTGCTTTCGCGCCTGTACATTTTGTACTGTAGTTGTTGTTGCAGCCTAGCCGCCTATTTGGCAAAGAACACCAAAAGCCACATAGACTAGAATTATCGTGACTCATGACCAAATTCATGTTGTGGGGGAAACTGACTTATTCAACCTTTTGATTTTGTTCTCTATGATATGGAATCTAGAATCTATACTCTAGACTCTAGACTCTAGACTTCAATTTGGAATCAGAACCAAGTCAAAGTCAAAAGTCAACATTATCATAATTAGATGATTTAAGACTCGAATCATAGGCGAGTGCTAGCTACTCTGCATGGTGGTGAGGTGACATGACAAAGTCAGTCGATATGGTGCCAGCGCCACTCAACACGAGTGACGATATTTTGGGAGTCTTCATACAGTCCAAGACTCTAAGACTGGGAAACGCAACTGATATGAGATGACTCAAACTCAGCCACCATTAGTCGGCCAGAGCTAAGAGGAACTGCCAAGCAAATCAAACCACTAATGTTTTTTTTCCATAACAAGATTTCAAATGCATAGTTGGTTAATTTTAGTAATATTAGTTGCCATCCACTATCACTTTGATCGTCTCAGTTTGAGACTCGCGGCAATATGAGAAGAATTTGTTCCTCTTATTCTGACAGATACGCCCACAGATATTCGTTACAGCCGATGTAGCGCAAGAAAAAAAGTTTGCCGGATGCTTTTGATTTATCAGCTGATCACTATCGCCGGTATTTTGTAATTGGGTTATCTCTTGTACTCTATGTTTTTCATTTTCATCACTTGTACCATATGCACCCCATTGTTTGTACCAACCGTACCTACCGTACCCCCTCATAATGTACCATCGTACCTCCATCTTGGTTCAAACCGCACCACCGTACCGTACCTACCGTACCTACCGTACCTCCAACCGCACCACCGTACCGTACCTACCGTACCTCCATACCGTACTCATAATCAGATGAGCCTATAGAGCATGGCTCTTGAGTTTTGATAAATATATAACTACATGCACATACATACATGCATGCATGCATACATACATACATACAGACATACAGACATACATACATACCTACCTACTTACATGCATACATACATACATTACATGACATGACATGACATTACATTACATTACATTACATACATTACAAACATTACATACATTACATACATTACATACATTACCTACATTGCCTACATTACCTACATTACCTACATTACCTACATTACCTACATACCTACATACCTACATGCCGACATGCCTACATGCCTACATGCCTACATGCCTACATGCCTACATGCCTGCATACGTACCTACATACCTACATACCTGTATTCCTACATACTTACATACCTGCGTACCAGCATACCTGCATACCTACATACCTACATACCTACATACCTACATGCATACATGCATACATGCATACATGCATACATGCATACATGCATACATACATACATACATAAATACATACATACATAAATACATACATACATAAATACATACATACATAAATACATAAATACATACATACATAAATACATAAATACATACATACATAAATACATACATACATAAATACATACATAAATACATACATACATAAATACATACATACATACATACAGGCATACATACATGCATACATGCATACATACATACATGCATACATACATACATACATGCATACATACATACATACATGCATACATACATACATACATGCATGCATACATACATACATACATGCATAAATACATACATGCATACATACATACATGCATGCATGCATGCATGCATACATACATACATACATACATGCATACATACATACATACATACATATTTATATATATATATATATTATGTGCGCGATTTTAATGCCTGCGCGTTTACATAGACATATCTAAGCAGAGAGAGGGAGAAAGAGAGAGTGAGAGAGAGAGAGAGAGTCCCATTGGCCAAAGTTGTGCAGCACCAGAGTTGCCATGTCGAGCTGCGACGGTTTCTACGTCTCCGTTTTCACCATGGCAGGGGAGCTGTACCATGAGGCGAGCTACAGCGCAACGGCGCGCATTGGAGACATCCCGGTGGGAGTGAGATCTGCGTCTTGGATGAAAGACTCTATAGGTATTAAAGGGATATGATTGGGATAATAATGGGATATTCATGGTAATAATTATCCCGTAGGGTAATGGGATAATTGCCAAGAAGGTCATGGGATAATAGTCGGACATATGACATTGATGGGACAATAGAGGAGCATCTACAAGATACGTTTGCAATTATAATAAGATAATTTTAGGATATGTCCAGTAATAAACCATCCCCGGTACAGGTTCATTGTTGGGTATGCCCTTATTGTGTAGGATAATGTACAGTGACCCCAAATGGTTGGTGAATGGAAAGTTTTATTTACGGCATTGGGTTTACCACACTAATCTTGGAAGATTGGAAGATCCAAGGGGAAAATTGGCAAACTTAAGACGGGAGAGAAGGACAAAATGAGGTTGATGCGTAGGTGAAGGGCCGATTTTGCACTGGATATTGTTCAACTTCAGGATACTTGTATCTACTTTCTAATGAACTAGTTGTCAAAGTTGATCTTATTTGTTGATATTTCTTGGGCCCAGTAGCTGTAGGACCCCAGGCGGGTTCGCTAAAGTCTCAGGAGGATTCGACCCTGCGGCGTCAATTGCTTGATCCTTCGGGCCAAGTCCTACCAGACCATGCCTTGCTTGCAGATGTGTTGCCCGCTGGAGTAGCCGGGACCTCCTTATGATGGGTCAACGGTGGTGAATTACGGATTGCTGGTCACAGAGTCAAGTTGAGTTGTACCCTGCGGTAATCAAACATGGCTAGCTGAGAATTCCCCTGTAAATGGAGGTCTTAATGGCAAAATTGCATTGAAATGGTCCAATGGTGGGTGTTCCGGTGTTCCTTTTCCCATCTTGATTACTGGCGGGTACATCAAGGATAATATATATTTGAAAAAAACACTGCTGTCCTGCATTTCCCGGCTCAAACATGAACTTCTTATGGAGATGTGAGGTTGGCCATGTCATGATTGGCTTTCCAACTGCAAATGTGTTTGCCCCAACAAATCTTTGCATCACATAGTTACAATAACCTTTTTGCAGCAGACTATATGGCCATGGGAGTGCTTCGTGGTTCAAAAGAAAGACGTCGCATTTATACACCCACCAATATTCTCGCAATGGTATTCCACACATATGTTTGGCGTTTTGGAAGAAGAACTTGCTTTTACTTGTACTGCGTGAAATGAGTGTACAACCCCAGATTGGTGTTGTTTGAAAATAGCGCACCCGCCAAATGTGATGGTTGATCATTTTGTCCCATGTAAATGGTTATTTGGTGCATACCACCTGTTTAGGTACCAAACCCATCATATAACATATTAAGTTGGTGGAATCATGTGGAATATATATATATATATATATTATACACGTATCTATCCCAGTATATCCCATATGATGTCCCCAAAGAATTGTAATAATCATAATGTCCATTTCTATCCCCATAATATCCCCAATTTGGTTTGTATAATTCCCATGTTGGCCCCCGGTTCATCCTACAATTTGCTTCCAAATAGTTCCAAATAGTTGGCTTATTGCGGTAGCTATATATCTATGGTTCATGGGGCTTAAAGGCCAACACAACTGTGGGCGCCACCGACTCATGGCTTAAAAAAAACATTTAGAGAGAACTGGGCGGCACCTGCATGGCATATTTTGTGACAAGTTCTCATCCCCACGACATGTTTCCTCCGCGGTCCAGGCGCAGTTGCAAGTGCTGCTCCAGAAACGGCAGCTGGAACGCGTCAGCAGCTTCCCCTCCTCCGCCAGTCACCGGGCGCTGCAGATTGCTCTGGCGGGGCAAAGGGGGTGCCTTGCTAGATCATTATTCTTGATGAAGATTTTTGAAGTGGGCATTTAAATGGGGAGATCAGTTTCGAATGGGCAATTTACCATTGCCGTGTTTAATTACCACCCCCATTTACCTGGGATATAACTATGGTGAAATATATTCATTTACAACTGGAGCTGCATTTACTATTTGGGTACTTGAATGCACTTGGAAAATCAAGCTATGGTTGTGTCCATATTTCCTAGTAGCAACAGGGAGCCAAGGAACTATGACAAGAGTTTTCCAACCACGCAACCACGGCAGTATGGGTATATTTTGTGCAGATTTATATAGTGGGATCTATAAATGGATATCTATCTATCTATCTATCTGTCTGTCTGTCTATCTGTCTATCTATCTATCCTATCTATCCTATCTATCCTATCTATCCTATCTATCCTATCTATCCTATCTATCCTATCTATCCTATCTATCCTATCTATCCTATCTATCCTATCTATCCTATCTATCCTATCTATCCTATCTATCCTATCTATCCTACCTATCCTATCTATCCTATCTATCCTATCTATCCTATCTATCCTATCTATCCTATCTATCCTATCTATCCTATCTAACCTATCTATCCTATCTATCCTATCTATCCTATCTATCCTATCTATCCTATCTATCCTATCTATCCTATCTATCCTATCTATCCTATCTAATCTATCTAATCTATCTAATCTATCTAATCTATCTAATCTATCTAATCTATCTAATCTATCTAATCTATCTAATCTATCTAATCTATCTAATCTATCTAATCTATCTAATCTATCTAATCTATCTAATCTATCTATCCTATCTATCCTATCTATCCTATCTATCCTATCTATCCTATCTATCCTATCTATCCTATCTATCCTATCTATCCTATCTATCTTATCTATCCTATCTATCCTATCTATCTTATCTATCTTATCTATCTTATCTATCTTATCTATCTTATCTATCTTTTCTATCTAATCTATCTAATCTATCTAATCTATCTAATCTATCTAATCTATCTAATCTATCTAATCTATCTAATCTATCTAATCTATCTAATCTATCTAATCTATCTAATCTATCTAATCTATCTAATCTATCTAATCTATCTAATCTTCTAATCTATCTAATCTATCTAATCTATCTAATCTATCTAATCTATCTAATCTATCTAATCTATCTAATCTATCTAATCTATCTAATCTATCTAATCTAATCTAATCTAATCCAATCCAATCTAATCTAATCTATCTATCTATCCCAACAAAGGGAGACATGTTTGGTTTCTCCAAAGCATGGGGGTTCCTGGGTGAACCGACTGGATGCGTAGTTTCGTCCTTTGATATTGTGCGATCATGGAAGTATATGCCATGTGTTCAACCGCCTGAATCTCAAAGCTGCAAGACCTGGGTATACCGTTGAAGGCTTGGGTGACCTGAAAAAAACGCTGCTAGTCTATAGGGCCAAGATGGGAGTACAACCGATGAAATCTAAGTAAATCTTGGTGAATAGGATCAACAACCCAAGAACCCAGGATTGGACATATGATCGCATAGTAACAGACTTGGACATAATCAATCACACACATCAACATTGAACTTGCTGGTGACTGCTAGGTTGTTTTCTCTTATTTACTTGTGGAAGGAAGACTGCCCTCCGGTCATCAAACGTGGCAATGGCCAATGGCCTGTTTACATGGATAAATATCTGATTAAAACATCAGAGGTTATGTCATGGTTTTCTGCACACTGACTTTTTCTGGTGGTACAATAGGGTAAACTAACATAGATGCAGAACGACCCGTGGTTTCCCGCTCGGAAGACGATCTACAGATAATGGGTTTTCCAGATCTATGTTAGTTTACCCTAGGGGCATCTAAGGTGCACCATCTTTTGTAGCTCGTTTTGGGCGACAAAAGCATGGTCCCAGTTCTTGGACCCTTTTTTGGTTCAGAATTGAACGCAAATCGTGGGGATTCAACCCAAGAATTGTAGATAATCTGGTTGGTGGTGACTGGAACATGTTTTATTTTTCCATATATTGGGAATAAGGATCTCAACTGACTAATATTTTTCAGAGGGGTTGAAACCACCAACCAGTAATAGTATGATAGGTTGTTAATAGGTAATTGGTAATATATGCCAATACAAATCATGTCAATAAGTTAATAGTATAACGTGTTATTCATGTTAATGTCAACCCTGGATTGATAACCCCCAAACGGCTGTTTAATTGTTGGGGTACCAAATTAATGTTGCAGATTGTCGCTATTTGGGCAGTATCGCCTTATAATTAAGAAACCCTGGTTTATATATTAATCCGAGGTTGACATTGATAATGATAGATGGTCGATAAAAAAGCATTGCAACATGCAAATAATATGACGAAATATGGATAACATTCGGGTTTTGAAGCAATGAATGATCAAAAACACATGATTCCCCATAAAGACAACACATCTCCGCAGTTCGACAGGGTGGGGAGAACTAGTTTGGTGTCGCGCTACTGCCGCGACGAATTTATCGATACACGGCGAGTGACTGGGCGGCCACCAGGGGTAGCTGCTTAGTGATTGGCTTACAATACACAAATACAGCACATTGATGCACATTGTATTTACAAACGTGAATAGATATGAACATACATAGATAATGCAGAGGCGGAAATATCATGAAACAGTCGTTGCAACATACTGGGGAATACCCTTGGAATTCTTGGCACCCTTTCCAGACTGAGTTTTGGGAGTGTGATGTTTGTTTTCAGGCTGGTTATTTTCGTCTTACTTCAGATGATTAGGATTTTAGATGATTTTAAGTCAAATAAGATAGATAGTGTTTTTTTGGGGTGTTTGAGGCCTTCTGTGATTGCGATACATGGTTTTGCAGCCATTGGTTGCTCGTATGGCCTCAGCATGCCTCAGCATCTCTGCTGGCAGGTGATGTTGTCGGTGATCCAGGTGGACTTTCAAATTCAGCGGGTGGTCACAGATGACGGCGCCTGCCTAAGGCTCTTGCTGTGGGATGAGCCAGAAACCCACATCGCTATGGCTCCACTTCGCTTCCGCCAAAAGCACCTGAGCTCTCTGATGCCGGGGAGTGTTTGCGGTGGGTCAAGAGGGAAATTTGAAGGATTTGAAGCGAATTGGGCTGTGTTGTGCTCCAATCAAGCGGAGAGTTCAGCAACCCAAACACACTGAAAACATGACCTCGATAACCGGATCATTATTCATTATTGGGCCATTATTTCCCGCAATGGCATGGGATCCTTTATGAACTAATTACTGTATATTGGGCGATGTGCTTTAGCTGGCTAGCCGGATGCCCGGCAAGCACCTTGTTGCTGAGATTTCTGACGTTTTGGATGACGTAAAATGACCACAAATGACCCCCAACTGGTCGTTTTTCATGATGTTAATGGAATGGTTTATTGGGGTTGACCCTTACGACATTGAACCAACATGGCTGTTGGAGTTCCGCATGTTCAATGCGTAAATCATTTGGACATGGTGGACCATGACTCCATTTTGTTGATTTCGGTGTGTTTGAAAATGGGTAACCCCCAAAATTGGCCATAATCGATTATCAGCAGTTAATTGTGACTAACCGGTTGGTTTAGCTGGTTGCCGTAAGTTTCAAAGAAACCCATTGGGTCAAATCCCAGTTGCAATTTCAGTTAAAGCCCCATACATTCTTCATCATTCTTCATTAACATGTCATTACACTTCCCATGTGTAGCTTACTCGAACATTTACAGCATTTACATCTCAAACAGTCGCCAGCGTTTGGATCCCATTACGCCATGCTGTCTAGATCGAATTCCGGATCCAAGTTCAATCTAGGGAAAGCAGCATTTTCCGGCATTCCCATTTTGATCATATAATCTGGGTAAAATCATGGTTAGTAAGGGAAATCATCCCCAAATGGCCTTAATTCAGGTTAGTGAAATATTACAATTTACCCAGATAACTCAACATAACATAATGAAGCTGCAGGCACGCTGCCATTTTGATCTTTGACATCACCAACCGACGCTCCTTCGAGGACTTGCAGAGATGGCTTACCGCTGCTAGGGACGCCAATGTCCAGACGATGGTGCTGATGCTGAAAAGAACTGACCAGATCTTTCAGGATATTTATCATGATTTTACGGGTTTCAGATATGTGGAAACTATCACATGTTTTATTGTGGATTCCTTGATATATGTTGTCAATTCCTTCCCATGACTTTCGCCAATGCCCTTATTATAAGCAACCAAGTAGTATAGATTTGAACATAAAAACAATATAACAACCCACCATAATGGGAAAGAATATACCAGACCATAACCAATATATAACGTACAGTGCCACGGACTTTGGTCTCAGGTGCTTCCTACTACAATTTAGCAACAGTTGGAGAAAATCATGTGGACCACGTGTTCCTTTGATCGAAATACATTACATTACAATACAATGCATTACATTGCAATACGTTACATTACATTACAATACATTACATTGCATACATTACATACATCACATACATTACACTACATACACTACATACATTACATTACATCACATCACATCACATCACATTACATACAGACATACATACAGACATACATACAGACATACATACATACATCTATATATGTATATGTAGATGTAGATACTATGTGTAAATACCGCTTATGCTGATATAGAGATAGCTATTCTCTCCCTCTCTCTCTCTCTGCGCATTGAATCCCAGTTTGTGCTATATATATATATATATATATATACATTGCGACACACGCACACACACATATATATATATATATTATACATTTATTTGTTTAAATTTGTTTATTAATTTATTCAATTTGCCAACCAAGGTGCTTATGGGCAACAAAAGCGACCTAGATCTCAACCGCCAGATCTCACACGAAGAAGCTCAGAGCTTTGCAGATGCTGAAGGGCTTCCGTACTTTGAGGTGTCCATGAAGGAAGGATCTCAAGGTGAGGGTTCACAAGACCTAAACAGAGATGGAAGAAACACGCCTGGAATTGTCTCAAAATGGTGGTGCCCCAAAGAATTGCATTTTTTCAATGACTTGAGGATACCTCCATTTTTGAAAAGCCCCCAAACAAGATCATTTTGGATTTGTGTAAAAGCGGGTCGGTATCACCCAAAATTACTCCTGCAAAAAAGGAGGGGAACAAAAATGCAGGCACAATTATCAGGGTAAATATAACATGTGCGTAACACGACATGGGTGCTTGAACCACTATACCATGGGAATTTTATTGTTTAAAAATCTTTTACGGACCACACTACTCAGAAACATCTCAAATCAAAACAGTCTGCCCATACTTGTGCATAGAACTGTTGAGCATGTTTCATGATTTTTGTATGTTCCTTATTTTTTACTTACATATTTTAATAGATCACTTCATGGTCAAGGCACAATAGCAACATATGCATGCACAATATGTACGTATATATAAACCGTAAAGCAATTCCATTGTCAATTGGCACCAGTACTCAGCAAAAGATGTCGGATGAAGTCTGGTGCCCCTGTGAGGCATCGAAGAGGCTGTGAACCACCTGGTCTTTGACGTCTTGGCCAAGCTGGCCGCAACGGAGAGCCCGCCG